CGCCTTCTAAAAATGAATGTGTATTAACATACGTCATTTTCAAACAAAAACATCCATTTTTGAAGAGAATTTCATAATTAGACCATGGTTCAAAATATAAATATTTTGTTTGAAATTAACCTTTTGAAGAAAAAAATCTCACATAAATAATATTTAAGAATTTACATGGTACTGCAAAGAAAACAACTTTTTACCATTACAAATACCATCTTACTAATGCTGTTTAGAGAAATAATCCCCGTTTATAGCGAAAATCATACAAAAACCCATAAATACCAAATGAAGTGTTTCTAACTGTTGAAACAGGTAGCGCATATAATTACCAATGAGCTTTAAAGGGTCAAGGATTATTCTGGGACAGTCTCAGCATAAATTGGATTTCCCAAAGCAAACTTACACAGCCTTAGCATAATCTTCATTTTGACATTTCGGATTCTCGCGGTGGCAAGTATGAAGATGGCCATTTTCTGGGTTGTGCCAGGCTGCCTCCATCATCAGGGTGATAATTGCCCTTATAATGGAGGCAGCATTATGTCCGAAATATCGGTAAACTAACACGAAACTACCCAGATCTTAAACTTTCATTTTGTTCATCATAAAACAAATACAAATAATATAGCAATATAAGACCCGAGACGTTAATATATATGTAATAAATAAAACTGTTCATATTAATGTATGTGCAAGAATATTATACAGATAGAAATTAGAAGATTCATTAGAGTATAAGATTCACTCAGATCTCATAAGAAACATTTTCAGAGAAGAAAATCTACTAACCTTCGGACTATAAGGAACATGCAGATTTCAGGCAGCATATTACAGAGAAAAAGTGCATTTTATACTTGAGAAAATATAGTAATAAGAATTGCAATACCATAGCTAAAAACACTTGGTTTTTAATTTTAAATTATAGTTATATCACAAAGTAATATTTCAGATGTTATGTAGATCAAGGCTAAAATTCGTGACCCATTCCATACAGAGCACCGAAGACAGAGAAATGCAATGCGTATTGTAAAACTATTCAGTACCAATTTTTAACCTGAAATACACATTTGTTGCGCACATACAAAGAAACAATTTGAATAAATGTTAAGAATTATTGCAGATTCGTATTGTTAAGTCATAACTTCCAGATCATACAAACCCCCCCCCCGGTAACCCAAATTTATGTCGATACAGGAGATTTATTAAGCATGCACATGAAAGTTATCGGATGCGACAACAAGTATTAAAACTATATTCATATATACAATACTTCTTATAATTAGAGAAGAGGCATGATTGCAATCGTCTATAACTTTCAACACTTGAATATATAAAATTATAATGTATTTATTGCATTTTATGCAAACTGTGAAGTCTTCAGTATGTGGTTATGTACTTTCGCTCCTCTCACAAGACAGCGCTACAGGAATTACTGAAGGTACGACTGTGTTTCATACCCGTCATGTCACAGTCATCTATTTACTTCACTGAATAAGATTATGCTTTACTATTACATCAGTTAACTACCAGTTCCACAGGCAAAAGAATTACTTTGTATTTATAGTTTAGATGCGTCATGTTTGTGTTCAAAATTCAAATATATATTTATTATTCAAGTCTATACACAAACTTTTAAATTGTTGATGTTAAAATTTAAAATCAATATTAATATTCTGCACCATTCATCGTTATCTCGATGTTACAATATTGCGCTTTATACTTCTACATGTTTCGATGTCATAGCATCATCTTCAGGTTTTTATCTTTAAAACTACTCTATATTTATTAATGCAAGCTTTTCATTGATTGTAGATTGTAGATTACTGTTGTGGGTGTTCCTTTGATATTCTTATTATTTTGCATATTATGTTGCATATTATGTTATTTGTTCATTATTCAAGAGTTTGATGTGCAGTGTGTCCCCGTCTGATCAGGTGAATGTCAGTTCATAGAAACATGTAGTAGTATATAGCGCAATATTGTAACATCGAGATAACGATGAATGGCGCAGAATATTAATGGTGATTTTAAATTTTAACATCAACAATTTAAGAGTTTGTGTATAGACTTGAATAATAAATATATATTTGAATTACTTTGTACTTCTATGTAAGGAAAAATAATCCGTAACTGCCCGTTCTGTGAGTCGAAATGGCTGTTAAATATTTATTAATTTAATGTTTACCTACAAATATGACTGGATTTTTATAAACCTAAATTTTAAATTGGCAGGAAACCCTCTTCAAATATAAGTTCCGTGAGTTGATAGGAAAATTGTAGAAGGTTTTGTTTGCTTAAGGCTTTATGCAAGTATTTAAATTAAGCTTACAAAGTCTCTCTAAAAAGTGGGCTGATAAATAATAGTAAAACAGAATGCTATATCACAAAGTTTTTACATATAATAGTCACCAAATATTCTTTTTTATGTTGTATCTTTTGAAATTCTAATTCTGTATTTATAATTAAGAAAATGTGACAATATAAATTTGATGTCATTTACAGTATTACAATACAGATATTGTACTTATACCTTATTCTTTGTGCGCTAGGTAATGATTACACCATTTAAAAAAAGGCAGTGTTTAGTTCAGGTGTGCGCTCCAAAGAATAACTGGTCAGACCCACTGACAGGATAATTTGTTGTTGTTGTTGTGTTGTATGCAACCAGCATTAGAAATGCAATCCGGTAATTTCTGAATTCCTGCATTTTCACTGATTTTAAACAGCGACTATAATCGCAGGTTATTTTTCGTTACCAACTAAACCCACGCCTCTGCAAGCCGGGGAATGAAGGAGTACATTAAGAGACAGTTCTAGAAGTGGGAACAATGGTCTGAAAGAAGGGAAAATTTGCTGATTGTCATGAAGGATGAAGAATTAATGTTATTAAGTAGAATTTGAGGTTTTCACGGCAGTGAGTCTGAAGGTGGCTGTCATCCGAGTTGTTGCACCGTGCAGTAAAGTTTTCCGACGTTTCCGAGGTCCTTGCTGCCTCCATCGTCCTGATAATGGAGGCAGCATGAACCTCTGAAACGTCAGTAAACTTCTACCAACTACATGGCGAAACAACCCAGAAGACACCATCTTAAATTAATGTTATTACTTACAATTGTATTAATTAACTGCATGGAGCAGGATCCTCCTTTAGAAACTGACAGTTTCTCAGCTAGTCATAAAATTCCTCTCTTTTACGGAATCAAAAGAGCCCACTATTGGTCCCTATCCTGAGATATGAATTTGTTTAATTCTGTATTCAAACATATTTTTCTAACGTACTTACTATTTAACAACGCTGTATAAACTTCTAACCAAAGTCATGCATTTTTTTGAGAATGCCATGTCCTGTTAGACACCACGTAAGAAGTCTTTTCAGAATATTAGTTAGCTGTTAAAATTTTGACATTCTTACATATAACAAGAGGAGATGAGAAAGCTTTCTATTACATCATTCATCAGTCGACCAGTTCCGTCATCCAGTGTTTCAGTTCACTCCAGTACCTAACTGCCTACTACGTCTAAGCAGTGGAATGTAAACAATGACTTAAATCACTAGTTCCCTCAAACTTAAACTTAAATCATTCCACCGCCTAACCAGTTACCAGCTATTTAGCTACCTGCTGATTGGATCAGTGACTCCAATCATCGTCATGTCAGATATCAAGTAACCGAGTGGTTTTTGAGAAAAAGCGATTCTGTTATCACCGTTATCAGTAAATCGCTCATAGCTGCATTGTCAATGGGCACACTGATTGGTCAATATGTACGTTTGCTCTCTTCTGGAATAATTTTCAGAGTCAACAAGAGGCCATTGCACTGTGAAAAATTACGTTCTTCACCGTCTTTTAATATTATTGCTATTGCTATGCCCCAAGTTTCTGTGTAAATATGTAAAAAATAAAATCAGTGGATTTTTTTTTACAATACTTTTCTGTTGTAGTGATGTTTTGGTTTTTGTACTTCCATATACTAATGCTTACATGGCAATCAGTCCTCCATAAAATTGTTAGGTTAGGTTAGCAAAAGTGTATTAACAGTCGCTGGCTGCACCAGATCCACTACCTAAATGATTCCAACACAACATAAATTTTAGCGTAAAGCTTGCAGGCAAAATTCCCTATTACCTCTTTACCCAAAAGTCTAACTGAACTTTTTAAAGCATAATTAATTAAATATTTTCTGGCTCACTACATTTTTATACACAACTGTGCCTAATGATAAGATAAACATTTAATGAAGTATATTTCCTTTGTATGACAACTTGGGTTTGAAATAATGACCATCAAATTCTCCGTCTTTAGGGTTAGGTTTCATTTACCTTTAGCTTTCTTGTGGACGTTTACCACACATGAGATGAATCATTTTTCAAAAGTTAGATATTAACTACCTCAAAGAAATGTTATAGATCAGGGGTCGTCAACCTGGTCCCTACCGCCCACTAGTGGGTGATTCAAGCTTTCATGGTGGGCGGTGGGGTCTTTTGTCCGTTGTTACAAATTTTGTTCTTCCTCCACGCATCGAATACATTGCTAACAACTTCGCGAGTTTGACTTTTTAAAATATGCTTTTGCAATTTATTTTTGAATTCCATCTCTAAATTTTGAATATAGATAATAATTCACTGGACACTTCTCGAAGTATACTCGTGGACGAGGGAGCAACAAATGAGCTCCGTATCAAAGGCACGAGTTTAGTGAGCATAATAAGGGCGGGGGCTTACCACCGGCCATCACTCAGTCTTGCAGCTGTACGTCTTTCATGGTTGTGGGCAGTACGTGCGGCACCGGTCGGCGGCAAGGACATTTTACCATCAACAAAGATACAAAAGTTGGCAGTGGGTATAAAAAAAGGTTGACGACCCCTGTTATAGATGGAGTGTTAGCTTTTGATAAGACAAGTTTTTATGCCATGTGTCTGTTAGGTTAGGTGTGTTTCAGGCTCACTATGGTAAAAATACGTGAGAGCTTTAATTCTTAAGTTTCCTGTTTGTGTGTAAAAAATTCATATTAATGCACCTAGAATGTCATTTTATTACGATAAAGTGTGTTGTTAATTTTGACATATGTACCTGAAATATCATGAGGGTGGTTTAATATAAACCTGCCAGTCACAAGAACTACGTCATGCAATCCCATAATTCCATTAGAAGGGTCAGATAAGGCACCAGGCAGTTACATCATGAGCGTTACTGTGACTGTTTAATAGAGGATTTGTGGCAGTCTAGAAAACTTGGAATACAATGTTCCACATCCATCCAAGCAAGATCAGCGCGCTGTTTCAGATTTTAGCAGGCACAGAAGGCTGTAAACCAGTGGAAATTCATTGGCGCATGCAGGCACACAACCACTAAGAATGAGCTTTCAGGCAATGAATCTACTTGTGGACCAATCCTCTGGCATAAGAACAAACATCCGACATACAGTCTGGATCTCCCCCTCTGTGAGTTCCACATCTTTGGGATACTAAAGCAAAAATTCATGAGATGTTGATTCCAGCTGAATTCAATGCTCAAGAGAACTTTTTCCTTCAGAATTCTTGGAGAAAAGCATCCTGTGCTTGGTGACTCAGTGGGGTGAATGTCTTAATATGGACTCAGCAGATATTATGTAATCAACCCAGGGTGGGTTTCTAATGAAACCGCCATATTATTGTTTGTAACACGCACTGTACTCTCATCATTAGTTTCAGCTGAAAAGTACAGTAACTCAGCAGAGCTCAATGTATTTGATTTAAACAGGCACTAATATCCAAGCGAGTTTTCCGACCGCCTGCTTACAAAAATACAATTATACTTGATCAATGCCATTTCCAGACGTAAGAAAAATATATTTTTTATCCTTTTTATAAAAGCTTATTTTCTTAAACTGTAGATTTAGAAACTGGAAAATTATCATGTCACTTACATGCCCCAATGAAGTGATCAACAGGTTAAATATAAAGTTATTTTAAATAAAGCTTGTGGAACATTAAGTCACTCACTATCAGTCACAATTCTTAAAATTAAAATATTTCTAGAAAATGTGCGAATATGTAGAGCAAGTTCCATTTACAATCTATCAGCACTTGGAAAAACCATTCCCTGCACAGTGAGCTATTGCAGGTTTAACCGTAGACTGAAATGGTTTGAGCACGCCCTTGTCCGATTTGCACGAGGGAAGTTTCAGTCATACCCAGCCATATTACACATATTGTATTCAAGTAAAGATTTAATATTTCCAAACCGAGAGATTTGTAATTAAAGACATGGTTGTTAGTGCATGAACATTTCCTACAATTTCTTTATAATGATCGGCCGGTCATCACTGTACCTGTAAAGATCACTCTTACGGGACCCCACGCGACTCGAAATTTAACACAACGAACCATTAACAGAGTCCACATTCCAATACTAACAAGCTAGCCATCTTTAATATACAAAGTGCCAAACCCATAGGATTGTATTTTTGCAATGTCTGTCTGTTTCTTCAAACTGTTATATTACATTTTGACTAAGTCACTTGTTTTATTTTATTAATATCTCGCTATAATAGTGTGATGTACTCCGAACATGACGGAGTTCATTCAGTTACCATACTATTCAAGATGATGGCATAAAATTCATCAATAAAATAATTTTGAAGTGTCAGTTTTTAGAGGCGATCGGTGTTTGTTTTGAGGTAATGACCCGACTGCAAATGATATTGCGATCAACAAGAACCACGGATCTCGTCTTAAGAATATAAAGTTAGTGAATACGCAGAAAAACCTAAAACCATATGCTGCTACGATAATGTTTCATGTCAGCCATGGAAATTATCCTCATAGGTAACCTTGGAATGTCTGAAGAAAAATCAGCAGCATCCATTTTTCATACAGTTACAGTTATTTAATTTTTTTACAGATTAATGACATTCGTATATAAAATCAATTTGTCATTTTTACCTTTTCAACATTTCTACTCGTGCCTCGCATTACATTTGCTGTGAATAAAGGAGGAAATTGTTTTAATGCATTATATTGCAATGTTCATCTGAAGTTCATGTTATGTATTTACTGATTCTTCCTACACTAGTGTCATAATTTACTTATTAATATTGAGACTGTTTCCAGTTCTGTATTCCTTTTAAAATTTAAGTAGACAAAAGCAACGCAGAGCTCAAAATGCCCATTTGATTTGTTGGTACCCTAGTAAATAAAAAGTATCAAGTGGCTACATTAACATGCATAATTTTTTTCAAAGTATATATCAGCACAACAAAAATGTCGCTGCGATTGTGCATCGTTCAGGCAACTTTTTGGCAATGATGCACTGAACTCTTGAGAACATTTCCTGACAGACTTTAGCACACAGTGGCCAGCACCAAGTTTTTAGAGGGACACTTCCCACGATTATATTAACTACTGCATGCAGAAAATAAAAAATTTGTAATAAGAGAAACATCCTTTCACTTTTATGAAAAGTTCTTTCTTCTACAAACAAAATTATTTAAAAGTTTCTATACCCTCTACTATTACTTGACTTCCGAAGCACCTGCTGTTACTTTTATCGATGATGTCGACCTAAGATGAAGATCTTCTGGTGACGCTTTAACGTAATAATCGGCTGCCCGACTGTTGCTATAACCGTTAGCCGTGTGGCTAGTTGACTTTGCTGAGTCCGTGACATGACCATTTGTTAACTTGCCATTAGGTGAAGCACCCTGAAATAGGAGATGAAGAATATTGTAACAAACAGTCAAAAGAGGTTCATATCAAGCTTATATTTTGTACTTTGAAATTTATTCTCTGAAATGCTTTCATTTGGTTCCCATAAAACCATGTAACCTGCATAAACTATCACCGTCGCAATTAAAGGCTCAACAAAAAATGTTTGGTGCAGCATTACAGCAACCTTCCAATATTGTTAAGGCAAGCTATTCTGTTTCATTTGTGATTGTAAAAAAAATGAAAACATTTTCGGATGGTAAATTTGTGACAGAATGTTTGGAAGCTGTTGTGAAGGATATTTTACCTGATAAAAGTAAACTGTTTTCGAACCTAAGCCTATCTCGGCAAACAGTGTGTTGTCTATGTTTACATGTAAGAATAATAGTAAACACAATAATAATAACTCATTATGTTTCAATTTTTCACTCCAAAAAAATGTCTATAGTGTATCTAAATCTAATATGGGGATATATAATTTTATATGTGGCCCGCGGAGTTATGATGCATTTCCAAAGTGGCCCGAAAGATCATTTGGGTTGGCCACCCCTGACCTAGGTAATCCATCTTTGGTCCATTTATTATTTTTCTTACTATCACACCCATCACCACGTTGGACAGCGCAGGAAACAGATTGCTTCCTTGACAAACTCCTCCAAATTTTTGGAAACTTCCATGATTATTTCATGATTACATCACCAAACGGTTCAGTCTATTTAAGAACGTGCCCTGCGAAACACGTGCCCCCATCCTTCGTCTGTCTCCTTTCCTGCCCGAACCTTCTTCCCTGGAAACTCGAGAACTTTATCTGTGCAGGTTTCTGTCGCTGTAAATTCAGAATATATATACTTTGTTTCTGTTAACAGAGCTCAGACCTTATTTTGTGCCACTTAAAAACAGGGGTGGCCCCATTTCACGTCCTATTTGTTTATAACACGGCACAAGTTACAAGGACCTTCCCTCACTTCAAAACCGATATTCGTAACACAGATGATACCTTTTGGACCGTAGCCTTCGTAACACCTATTCTCCCCTTCTTCTGGTAAGCTTGTTTGTAGAATTCGTTGAAGAGGAAGAAGAACATGACAGCATGCATGCCAATGAACCACACAAATGCACGAGGGTAGTTGCAGTCAATGAACAGCAGTTGGAAGGCGTGTACCATAATCGCTACAAACTGGACCTGTTGAAAAAGTAAAAACTAATAAATAATAGAAAATTTTATGACTAAACCACATATTTCCTGGTGTTCATGGGGTGCTGAATATATTCTGATTTACACAAAAGTTTCCTCTGAACCATAAAGAAACAAGGTGCAAATAATAATTACAGATTCACTGATCTGGAAATTCTTAATAAACTTACTTACTTCACTCGTACCACCATCAGCCTTCCACATTTTAGGCCCAGTGGCCTGTTATGGTCTCGTGATAGCAGTTGGAGGATCTTCACGCATTTGGTAACGGAGAATTTGGAATGGTTCTCACAGACACTTAAACTTAACCTGTTTACAGTTAGGAGCAAGGCGAGGCTAATAGGGATGAAAACTACGTAACTCTATGAAAGAGTCCTTCTTGAAAAGCTGATAGTATCTCAGGTGGTCAAGAAATTTCCCACCCCGTATAGAACCCACGTTCAATTCCACGTTCACGTCAGTCTGCTAACGGATCTCTTCAAAGTTGAATGCAGCGCACATCTTCATAGAACTGCTTCAGAATCCAATTTAATTTTTTTCTTTCTACCTACATCTACGTGTCCCAAGTAGTTTTCAGAATTTCCGGCTAAAATTTTGTATGCATTTTCATCTCTCCCATCGCGCTTAAATGCCCTGCCTATTTTTTTCATCATTTTCGATCTGATCCCTTAACAATATCTGGTGAAAAGTACAAATTTAGGAATATTATCTTTATGTAATTTTATTCAGTCTCAGATTCAAAAATATTTCTCACTGCCCAGTTCTCAAACACCCTCAATCCATGTTCGAATTTTAAATTAAGAGACCAATTTCACACCCATACAAAACAAATGACAAAACTAGATAAAAAGTATGTTGTAATTAACATTTGTGTTTCTATATAACAAAAAGATACAATTATTTTTAGCTGAATCATTAGTTCACATTCCAACTACTGTTACAAAACCACTGGCGTTTAATACATACACCAGACGATGGCGTAATGAGACTGAAACACGTGGTGCAAGCATGATACGGTGAGAAGGTCGTGTAAACAGTACCGTTATAAGTTGAAGATCACCTTAAAGGTCCAGAGAGGTTGATGGAAATGACTTCTTTGTTGCAGTTTCTTTCAGTACGTTGTAGCAAAGTTTGGACATTTGAATTATTTTAGGGAAAACTGGTTCAAAAGTATGGAACTGCATTCATATAGCTTAATGATTAAAATACGTAATAAACAATTTTGGAGACTTCCGGTTCACAAAAATTAAGGGCGTAGGCAGGCATCTAACGCACGCATTCACTAGAGAGCGGCCAGGAAATCCGGGTTTAATGTTAGCACATCTGCAATGTGCTGTAATAACACTTATCGGATAGCATTAAAGTTACAGAAATAATTATATACTTTAAGCAAGTTACTCTGATTATGTTACTTTCTGTTCACAGATTTTGGTGTTTTCTTTAATTATTCTCAATACTGAAAGTAATCATCGATATTATATTATTTTTATACATCCGTGCGCAAGACATTATATTCATGGAGAACACATTCCAACATTTCACAACGGTATATTATTAACTTGACGAAGCCTCTACAAGAGTCCTCTGCCCCTGTCGGGGATCGAACCCCGGCCGTCCAGCCCGTAGCTAGTCACTATACTGACTGAGCTATCCCGGCTCATCTACAAGAGTAGTGACAGTCTTATATAATACAGGGCACACATGCAATCTCTTCTGAGAGTCACGCAGACAGGACTGAAATATTTAGCATTCGTCGCTCCCCCTCACGAGAAACAAAGCGTACACACAGAAAAGTTTTACTATATTAGCTTAGGACATTCAACAAACGAACACACTACTTAATCATATGCACAAAAATTGTATGGTTAAAAGAAACATTTTAAATGATCATATGCACATATTGCTCAGTCGCTTTGCCCAAAGCACCCACGTTGGAACAAGTTGATAGAACATCAATTCAAAATGTGCACCAGTCAAGTTTTTCACGGTTAAAAATGATACTAAGAGGAGAATAAGTGATGCTGAGTGAATCAAACTTAAAATACTTTATGTTTAGAGAAATCACGTATTATAAAATCATTAGCAACTAACCATCTGGAAAGTGGTGAGATATTTCTTCCACCACAGGTATTTTTGGTACTGTGGTCCCAGCGCAGCCAAGAGATAGTATGTGTACATCACAATGTGCACAAATGTGTTGATTAACCCAAAGAAAGTACTGTGACCTCCTGGAAGCCAAAGAGTACACAGAATTCATATATCTATAAAATATCCTTATTAAATGTTTATTATTATTACTCTATTAGTAGCAATAACTCTGCTTAATTTAAGATAAATTTTTTAAAATGTTCCGCACTGCATGCCGTAACAGCGCAAATTTTTTGGGTAGCTCTGGGGCCATCATGAGTTATGCTTGTTGCTGGTAAAGAAGGGGTCTAGAAAGGTCTGTTAGGTGGTTGCCACAGTCGAGATCAACTTCTGTAAACCACTCAAGTCCCAAATTTTTTTTAATTAAATGTTTCCAAGAAAAGGTCATGTGAATTGTATGACATGACACGTAAAACACGCACCTAAATCACTTTCTTGAGGAAAATAATGAGTTACAATCACAGTTCACGCTCTCCTCTTATAAATTAACGACTGGATCAAAATGGGGATCGAACTGGGAGAAAATTAAGACTTTCTGCTACATTTTATTTATTTGAATATTTTAATGACATTTAACTAACAATTCTTACAACTAAAAAATGAAGGAAAAAACTATAAATAGCATAAATTCTTCAGAAAATGTAATAGAGGTTTGAAGTGCTTGGGATCAAAGTCGGAGAGTGCGGAACACATCTTAAAACTACATCATCTTCACCATTCATTCAGGAATCTGTTATTACTGCAGTCAGATGTCTTAAGACATCTGGCATCACACGATACAAGACAAATGAATATTATGTAATTTTTATGATTACGGCACAAACAGGAAGTGAGCGAAGGTTTTAACGCATTAGTATGAAACTTTATTACATATAAAGTATCACATATCAGGGATAGCAACGTATAAGATTTCTCTTGGACTGGAGGAATGAAAATTGTGGACTAACCTGGTGTGAATTTGACTCCAAACCAGACACTCATCGGCATAACCCCATGGTGAATAACGTGCAGTGTAGATATGTGCTCATTTTTTTTTCTAAGTACAAAGAAAATCTGTAACATAAGAAGAAGAGATTTAATGGTTTCCAAAGTTATATACAATGTTTAAAAGATATTGTAGGTGCGTCATATTGTGATTTATTTAAATAGTATTAAAAATTATATTAAAAATTGGCCGTCAATCACAATATAAGATAATTAACAGATTAAAATATCATTTTTCGTTCCGTATCGAGTACTCGATTTACATATGGAACATTTACGACATGTTTCGGCTATCATAGAGCCGTCATCAGGTGTTATGTTATAAACGGCCAATGTTGAAAAGGTAAAACAATATTGCAGTAATACTTCAGTGGAAGTGCTGACTCTCTTAAAATCTCTTAGTTCTCACAGGACAGCCACTACTGTACTTCTCCACGCACGTTTTTTTGTTAAAATATAATACAACTGCAAGACATTAATTCAGTTTTCTCCGAAGAAAATATTTCTTTAAACTTTCTGTATAATACTTACTGTATCAAAAAATTCAGTGAATTTTGAGAAATAGTACCACCAACACGCATGTACCATCTGAAAGATACAATCAAAAAACAATTTTAATTAAAAAGTTAAATAGAGATAACACAGACATTTATAAATTACTTCAAACAGCACCACATTCATGCATTAAACCTCTTTATCATCAGTTTAATTAAAAAGAATGTCATGACGACAATCATCATCATCATCATCGTAGTTCTTGAAACTGTATAACGAAATACGTACTTGTTACGGTATAATAAGTATGCTTACGTTATTACCTTCTGAATTCAAAACTATTTTACTTCAAAAATTCTGAAAGAACGAAATGTGGTAGTGCTACGATAATTAATGACAACTGCGCACGAAACACGCAAACCTGTAGAATAAAGTGAAAACCTAGCATCTATTTTCTAATGACATCCGTACATTTCACAGTGTAACGACGACAAAAATTTGCAGCGAATGAAGGACATTATTTAGAAGGCAGGAGAATCTACAGATTTTAAACACGACCCCTGTCTTAAAACTCTTTGAAGCCGCCACATATTTTATACACATTTATTCTGTATACATAATGAATAAATTCCTGCCTTCAAAATACATTGGCTACAGTTTCGATTTCATGTATTTTATATATACGAAGTAGGGAATAATGAGTAAAAAGATATCTCAGTTGATAATCTATGCTGATGTTACACTAAACGCTGTGTACGTAATTAAATGGATCATCACGTATAACATTACTCTACTTCTGTTCTTATCAGTTATTTTAAACAAGTCACCATTAGCGGATAAACATGACTTCTGTAATGGAAAAAAAAATTATTAAATAACAACAAAATCTGAGTTGAAGTACGAGCAAACCATCGTGATTCTGACTAGCATACTTTACTCTTTGGGGGAAAAAAATGAAAGGGTTTTGTACGAAAACCCAACACGGAATGAGAAATATTTAACAGCACCGAAGCCCTCCAATAAAAGTATTCAAATGAAGTCAGGGCTTGTACCACAGGAACCACCTCTCCTATATTTAGCTTGATCCTCGAACAAACAACAACTCTGTAAGACTTGAGGTTCTCACAGCGGTGAGTATGAAGATATCTGTCTTCTGGGTTATTGCGTCGTG